TGTTACACATATAAATGGTTTGTTCCCATTTAATTTTTGTTTTATTTTAAAATAATTATAGACTCATAAGAAGTGGAAAATGTAGTAGGAAATGTTCCATGTACCCTTCACCCAATATCCTCCAGTGCTTACATCTTACATAATTCTACTAAAATATCAAAACCAGGAATGTGATATCGGTGCAACGTGTGTATTTACAGTTCTATGCCATTTTATCACATATGTACATTTATGTAACCATCACTGTAACCAAGACACAGAACTATTTAACCAGCACAGAGTTCTCCGTTGTGCTATTCCTTTGCATTGACACCTCCCTTACTCCTTCCCATCATCTCAAGCACCTGGCAATTATTAATCTGTTTTCCATCTCTATTATAATTTTTTCATTTCATAAATGTTATATAAATGAAATCATATAATATGCGACTGTTTAAGATTGACCTTTTTCACTCAGAGTAATATCCTTAGGGTCCACCCAAGTTGTTACACATATCAACTGTTTGTTCTTTTTTGTCACTAAATAGTATTCCATGGCATGTACATAACCAATGCATCTGTGAGGGAGAATAAAGACTGTCCCAGACAAACAATCACTGACGGAATTTGTGAAGACCAGACCTGTTCTGCAGCAAGTACTCAGACCTGCATTACACACTGAACAGTGTAATAGACACCCACCAAATCAAAAACACTCAAGAGTTAAAGCCCAGAACCCAGATTCCACAATGGCTCAAGAGGTAAAACAAAACAATAAGAACTTACCCAACAATATGAACAGAAATCTACCCCAAAAATCAATCCTCTCAATAAATGTGAATGGCTTGAATTGTCCTTTGAAGAGGCATAGACTGGCTGAGTGGATAAAACATTATAAGCCAAATATCTGCTGTCTCCAGGAAACACATCTAACCCACAAAGATGTTTCAGACTCAAGGCCAAGAGTTGGAAAACAAACTTTCAGTCAAATGGAAACCAAAAGAGAGCAGGGGTAGCAATTCTGATTTCAGACAGCATAAATTTTAAAATAGTAAAAGTATTGAAAGACAAAGATGGTCACTATACAATGGTGAAAGGAAAAATCCAACAAGAAGACTTAACAATTCTTAATATCTATGCACCCAACACAGGAGCACCATTGTGAATGATCCTTTTATTGTGCTGTTGATTCAGTTTGTTAGTATTTTATTGAGGATTTTTGTATTGATGTTTATCAGGGATATTCAGGCCATTGTGTTTGCTTTAAGCAGCCAACAGACATTTTAATTAAATTATAGATATAAAGATAAAATAAATATAGTAATAAATATTATCCATATATTTACCTATTTTGGTACTCCTCATTCCTTCCTGCCAATCCTTGCTTCCATATGGAATACGCCAATGGCAATCATGGCAACAACAAAAATTTAAAAATGGGATTTGATTAAACTAAAAAGTTTCTGCACAGCTAAGTAAACAATCAACAGAGAAAAACAGACAACCTACAGAATGGGAGAAAATATTCTCAAGCTATACATCCAATAAAGGGCTAATAACCAGAATTTACAAAGAACTCAAGCAAATCAGCAAGAAAAAACAAACAAACAACCCTATTAAAAACTGGGCAAAAGGCATGAACAGGAGCTTCTCAAAAGAGGAAAGACAAATGGCCAATAAACTATGAAAAAATGCTCAACGTCACTAATCATCGGTTAGAATGGCATTTATCAAAAAGTCCAAAAACAACAGATGCTGGCATGGATGCAGAGAAAAAGGAATGCTTATACACTCTT